GGCCGAGAACGTTCTGGTGACGGAGGACGGCGTGTGCAAGCTCTGCGACTTTGGCAGTGCCACTACTGTGGTCATGGCCCCAACGAATCAGCGCGAAATAGCGTGGGTCGAGGACAACATCAATCGATACGCAACGGCACTCTATAGGCACGCATCGCTTTCACTCGTCTCAATCTTTAGTGCAATGCACAAGGTTTTGTGTTAACATGAAGGGGTTCTCCTACAGAGCACCAGAGATGTTGGACCTGTTCCAGGGCAAGGTGATCAGCGAAAAGGCGGACATATGGGTACCTCCTCGGCAACAGCACATGCACGCAGCGTGCAAGAGAAGACTAATACGTTTGTGATATTGGTGTTGGTGTTGATGTTTTTTTTGCGTTCCGTGCTAGGCGCTGGGCTGTTTCCTCTATCGATTGGCGTTCCTCAAGTCGCCCTTTGAAGAAAACGGCTCGCTGCAGATTTTGAATGTTAACTACACCATCCCGGAGGACTCGCCCTACACCAACACGCTGCACTCGCTCATCAGTACCGCTCTCGCCACCCCCACATATTGACCGGTGCACCGCACCCGCTTTTGCTTGCACCGTATTCACGTGCGTGCTCCCAATTGTCAGAGTTCATGCTGAACCCCGACCGGACCTGCGGCCTGATATTTTTGCAGTGCTCACGCTTGTGAGCAAGCTCAGGGGAGTCGACAGTCCCATCGAGGTAGTTGTCCTCCCCCTTTGTCTTTTCCCTCGTTCCTGCCCAGTTTCACCAACGCCCTAAACGACGATTTCGCAGCGCACGGTGTATGATCGTGCGGCCGCTCGTCCTACTCTGCGTGAAGCCATGCGCTCGACAGGCCAAGTGTCCGTTTCAGATGACGAGCAGGAAACGGAAGTCTTCCCTGCCGAGCAGCCCACTGCGAACGTCAACGGAACTGGTAAGTGGCGTCAATCGCCTGTCACGCTTATGCGCTGTGTCGCGCGTGTTGCGTTGGATACTTATTTTTGTGCGTGCGTGTGTGTGCGTGCGTGCGTTCAACGCTGTAACAGAAAGGAAAGACCAGCAGACCGACAGCAACCGACGAAAGCTGCAGTCGACGAAGAACAACCTCTTCAAATCCACACCCTCGATCCCTGGCGTGAAGAACATCCGGAAGAAGATCAAGAAGGGCAAGAAGGAGAAGAAGAGCAAGAGGGAGAGCGGCAACGACAACGCCGGAGACTCGGACTCGGGCTCGTCCTCGACGTCCCTACCCCCGTCGCCCCATGTGACGACCGCACCACCCACCCCCGTCGGCCGCGACCGCAACACAGCGCTGCCGGCCAACTTCGACAAGGTCAACGCCACGCTGTTTGGGATGCTCGACTGGGTGCCCAATGGCCAGGATCAGCCGCAACTGCAACAGCAGCCGCAGCAGACAAGGGCGGTCACGCCGCGCGATGGTCGCGGTGGCGGTGGTGGTGGATCGGCGATAGGAATGGTGGGCGCCAGTGCGACCACGCCCCGCGGCAGCGCAAAGGACTCGCCGAGGAAGGAAGACAAGAAGAGCAAAGCCAAGACGAAGAAGGGCAAGAGCAAGAAGAAGAGCGACAAGGGAGACAGCACCGACGCGCCGGGAAGCAGCAAGCGAAAAGAAAAGAAGGAAAAGAAGGAGAAGAAGAGGAAAGAGAAGTCGTCGTCAGTGGAGGAAGAGAAGAAGGAAAAGCGAGAGAAGCTCAAGGCATCCCGGGGCAAGACGCCCAGGGGCGAAGCCAAGCCGGCGGAGACGGCGCCGCCGCCGCATGGCAGCAGCGAGCCCGCTGTCGTCTTTGCCGTTCCCGCTGCCATCCCTCCGGCGGTCTCCCGAGCCAACCTCTCGCGATCGGTAGACGTCATGGGCGGACCGGCCGCAGCAGCAGCAGCGAAGGAGCCTGCCGTCAAAGGCGCACGATTCGCCGACAACAGCCCTGGCCTACTCGCGGCGCCTTCTCCAGCGCGAAGCCGAGGGTGCGCACCACCACCTCTACTCCCCTAATGCCAGGTGTCACTTCGACTCATGTGTGTGGCTGCTTGCTGCGTGTAGGCACTCTCGCGCGCAGAGCGTCGATGTCAAATCGCGTCACGCCATGACCAAGGTTGCGCGGCGCCCTTCACCACCTCAACGTGCCCTCGCTTTGCACTCACGCACGTACGCACACCGCATTGCAGGTCACGGGCGAGCGACGGGGATCTGCCACGGACCAATCTCAGGGGGAAAGGCAATGGGCACTATCCAATACGGGGACTCCTGCCATCGTCACTCCCGCTTCTCAGGTTTTCAAACCGTCCCTACTGTCTGGGCCAGCCATCTACATTAGTCAACTCATACACAATCTCCGCTCCGTGTGGCAGGCGCAGCAGCAGGCGGAGGCTATGTTCTTCCAGGGGCAGGCGCAGAATTTCTTTGCCGCTCAGCAGTTCCAGGCTCATCAGGCTCAGGCCATGGCCTTTGCCCAGCAGCAGGCGCAAGCCTCGAATCCCTTTGCTCCGGCTAGGTCTGCACACCAGCAGCCCTCGCCGAGGTTCATGGAGCAGCCTGACCACGTTGCCGCGCAGGTGCGTAGTTGAACGCACGTGCTTCGACCATTTTGCTTCCATTGCCACCGCTCACGCGTGGCGTCGTCGCACTCGACCATCCCAGGCAGCAGCATTCTTTGCCGATGACCAATCATCGCCCTTCTTCGATCCCTTCTCCGCCGCCGCACCCGCCCAGCAGCCATCACCGGTGCGCAGCCTTCACTCGTTAACTACGTCCGAGCCACGTCAAACCCCAGCTGCATTCTCATTCCCATTTCTTGTTGTCGGTGGGGATTGCAGCGCGTCTTTGATCAGGCACCACAGCCGCAGCCGAGCATGGCCGCTTCCTTTCTCCCCTCGCCACAGGTACCACGTCACGTCAACACAAGAACTCTAGACTCAGTTCTGCGTGGTGCTGACTCCTTGTTCTTGTGTGTATGTGTGCGTGCGTGTGCGTGTGCGTGTGTGCGTGTGTGCGTGTGCGCGTGTGCGCGTGAACAACACTCTCGTGACTGCAGCAACTGTACGATGCTCAGCTGCAACAGCAACAGCAGCTCCAACAGCTCTACGAACAACAACAGCAGATGCAGTCGCAAACTCTCCCCTCGGCTCAGCAGCAGCAGCAACAACAACAACAACACGTCGGCGTGCCCGCGCCGACCTCGGGTCCGGACATCGGCCGTGTGTTGGCTGAGGCCACCAAGGCCACGTCTCCGCTGCCGGACCGATCGGCCCTGAAGACGCTGGTCGAGGAGTCCTGGAGGCAGCAGAGCAGCTCCGCCATCTTCGACAACATCGCCCAGCTGCCCGTCAATAACCCCATCGTGTGCCTCAACCTGCTCTCTTCCGTCCACCACCTGCTTCTGCACGGTCACCCATCGGTACGCACCGCACGCACGCACACGCCTGCACGCAACATAACTCGTCGATTGATTCGCTGAAAAACTTTGCGTCTTGGCACGGCCGGTGAGTGCAGGTGATTCGAGAAGGATGCACCAAGGGGTTCATGATCCTCAACAACATCAACGTGTCGTGGCGCAGCCAGCAGCGGACA